TGCTAATGCTTATCGTCAGAAATTACAAATTTTCATTGCTGAGACGAACATGACATCGGCGAATAGAGAGTATGTAATATGAGCTTCTCCAAGCATCCATAATTGCAAAATTGATGTACGAAGGGCGATGATAAGATTCGCTGTTTTACACTTTCATGTGTGTTTACGTCATAATCTCATTTATCACTTACAAATCTCGGTATGCATTATTCTATCTTGCAGACTCTCAGTAATGGGTCGCTCAAGATCACGCTCACCACGTCGAGAACGTCGTGACCGCAGCGAGGAACGAAAACGTAAGGACAAGAAAAGAAGACGTCGTGATGGATCCAGTGACACTTCTGAATCGCACAAATTGGGAAGCATACTGCGTGAACGATCACGTCGAAGTAGAAGTAACAGTAAAGACAGAGACTCTCATCGAGACAGAGATCGCGAAAGGGACCGTGAAAGGCGAAGGTATGATAACCTTTCTATCAAGTTTCCTTTTCATTCTTTTATCTCCTTCTTGCTTCACTAACGAGTTGTTTTGGCGTTGAATTATCTCTAAACTTTTGGACTTTACGAAAGTCTGTTTTTTTAAGAAGGGATTCAGGCCAATTTCTTACTCTCACTTTACTCAAGTTTGTTCAAACGATAATTAATGGGAATATTGCACTTTCAAATATGTTTCCTTTACCTGTTCATCGTGCGTAAAAGCACTTGTTTTTAGGCCTACGGTCCCGACAGAAGTTGAAAGAGAGCTCAGCGGGCCTTTTGATATCTCGAGCATTTCAACAGAGGCACGAGAATGGCTTGAAGAAAGAATTGCTGAGCAGGTAATTTACATTTTTCATTTACGCAAATTTCTATCTCTTCCACTTCATGCTTCAAGAAATATAAAATGATTGCTTTTTCAATTAAATTTCCTTCTCTATTGTCTCGTTGATGAACTGATTTTTGTCGTTCTAGGATAATTTCAAACCACAAGAAATTTGGTGTGAGTTTATCGACTAGGTAGAGAAACTCGAGTAAAATGTCCGGTTGCTCTCTTTGCGCGTCAAGTTCGAGCATTTAGAGGCCTTAGCGTGTGCCCTTACATTTCAACATTCAACGCTTTACGCTCTGATTGAGCCTAGATTTATACTATTATCGCGAAACACAAATGATTCGATTTCGTTCGCAATGGATCTCTCGTGACCATGTTCCGACGCAACCTATTGGGAGTTCTTGCAGGTATTCCATTATTTTACGCACAGGTATGGTGAAAGCGTTACGCGTTCCCCTACCATGGTGCAAATGGAGTTTTACGAATGATAAAAGTCCTGGAACAAGTTCGCTTGCTGACTAGGAATTCTCACCTTCTAAAATATTGACAACGCTTCGTTTAACTTGTAAGATAGGAACATTATGTTTGGATATCGGAAAAGAAGTCATTTGGCTCCTTTTGGCAGATATGCAAACACAATCTTCGTGTGAAATCATTTGCTTCATGTATAAATTAGAAGTTGAAGAAAAAGTCTTGACGTCTCTCCGATATCCAATCACATCTTTCATAAATTGGGAAGGCTATATGGTAATTATACGCATTTCAGGTGCTTGAAAGAGTAAAGAAGTTGGAGGAGGCGATGACCGAAAGTCAAAAGAAGACGAGAGCAGAAATAGAGGCTCGTCTCAGGGCACAGATCCTTGGTGAAATGGAAGAAGAGATGGCCTCCATACGAAAGAGAGAAGAAGCATCGAAAGCAAAATGTGCCGCCCTCGAGAAAGAACTGGAAGAGAAAGTTCGGCAAGCCGATGAGAGTCAGAAAAGGTTGGCAATATACTATTCCCCTACGACTTTCAGCATAGTATGCAGTTGTGAACGTTCTGCAGCTGCTAGCGAGCATGTATGCCGCAGTGCTTTATTTCGCAGGAAGAGCAATGATGGCTGACGAAGGGCGAATCGCCATATTTCGGATTTCGCGTGCTCAGATCGCTTAAACATCCATGGCGTTGAGGTTGCACGTTGACGGCGACGGCGGTCGTTCCAGTCACTTAGCTCAATTCTTTCCTTTATATAGGTTCAACGAGGAGCGGCTTGCGATGCTGGCAGAACGAAGTGCTCTCGAACGTGAACGGCAAGAGGTTCAGAAGGAGAAACAAGAATTGCTGAAAAACGAACAACTTGCCATTATCAACAAAGGTGGAGCTGTTCGGCCTCCCATCAAATTTTCTTTTGGTAAATCTTCATGATTAATGTTTATTATATGATTGTCATTAGATTCACGTTGTTATTGTTGTTGCTGATGATAATGATGAATCTTGTATGAATGTATAGCCAGTATTATTTATCTGTGTAAAGGTTAAAGTGTTGTTCCCACGTTTCTGTTCTTGAAGACTTTTTCATCTGCAATGTTGCCGTCTGCGTAGCGTTAGCGTGACAGTCTACTGATAGGACTGTACTTACTACACGTTACGCTGTCGACCAGTGCCGGCAGGATCGAAAGGTTAGTCCATAATCATATCGCTTCCAAAACTGCTGGATCTTCATAGCAAAAAGAAAAAAAAATGCAGAATTTGCTTGAACTGGGTATAGCAATCTTACTGGCTGGAGTGCAAATTGCGCATGTAATGCCTTACTACACGTATAGTTGTCAAATGAATTACGCAAGCCTATAGGTAAAAATCTTCACTGATACACTGCAGGTATCACCTTCGGTCAAACTTTTCGATGAACCATTTTCTCTAAAAATGAAGTTATTTTTGCGCTAGCCTAGAATGGGGAGGAGGAGGGATAAAAGTTTTGAGGGATCCGAATCATTCTGTTTGCCGCTTTTTTAAACATAATTGCAAGAATAGGCAAGGAATTGCTACACGAAAAAAGGTA